AGTTCCCTGCTACCTAGCCCATTGCTAAGCCAACTGCCGAGCCAACTGCTAGCTGTTTAAGTCCAAACTTCTCCAAATCAGAAAGTGATTAAACACTCAGGGTAAAGACTTCCGTTGTGCATCTATTAATCTCTCAAAAGATTATAGATCAACTCTTCTAGAGGGAAAACTTTGTAAAATCAAAAAAGATTTAAAAGTCTATTCACCCCCCCCCCCTCTAGACTTTTACCCTATCCGGGACCATCACTATATACTCATTATCTACAAACTAAAATATCTGGTCGTACAATGTGCATGGTACAACTGGATGTACAACCTATTCTTCCCGCTCGTTTACCATCCTTGCATCCATCCTCCATATCCAAACTCTTTCCCCTCCATCTCCAGTCTTCTGCTCGCAACCTCCGGCTTCCATGCCACCACCCGCCACACGGCCTGATGAAGAGGCTCCGATGAAGATAGCGAGGTGAAGACGACGAAAATACAACGACGAGGCTGCGGCGACGAGGCTTCTTTGATGGCAACGAAATTATGTGATGGCGGAGGCGTCTCCAGCCTTGGAGACAACGGCTGCTGCTGACCTAAATCCTTTTCCTCTCCTTTCTCTGTCTACAGTAAGTCGGCCTGGATCTAGAGCTCCATCATCTTCATCAATTTGGGCTCTGCTCTATGATTGCGACAGAGATGGCACGATAGGGTTTCACATATGATATTGGAGACTAGAGTTGCACTGAGGTGAGTTATAGGAGGAAGTGTGATGGGGGGCGGCAGAGGCGTGGTGGTGGAATGTGATGGTTTCAAGGTTAGGGTGACGTGTGGTGTTGGGCAGCGATTTTTCAGGGGCTAGGGGTTGGGAAGAGTGTTTGTGGGTTCACTCTAACGGCGGTTTCCCTGGCAGCGATTACCGGATATACAGGGGCTGAGTGCAGGTTTGGGGGTGGGCAACGGTTGTGGATTGGCAGGAAAGAGGTTACGAGTTATGTAGCATCGGTACGACATAAAAAAGTAGGATACAAATACGGGGTATATTTATAAATATTAAAAGTTATGAGAGTGTATTTATAAACATTAAAAATTATAAGTGTATTTATAAATATTAAAAATTACAAGATCTTTTTTTGAAAATATATACATATGTTATCCTGTGACTCTGTCCATTCATGACATGAAACATTTCACATTATCAAGATAGAAATAAATTCAAATTTTATCTAATATATACTAGTGCATCTCAAAATATAAATATAGTCAATATGTCATTAATTTCAAATGAGAAACGAGTTAAACAACCACAACTTTGAAATTAAAAATGCATGTACTCAAAGTTCTTGAATAACGGGGATAAAAACAACACTCTAATAAAAAAAATCAAAAGTTCTAATACATATTTCCACTAGAGCTACTAATTTTAGGGATAATATCGTTTTGCAAAAAGAAAACCTCCAATTCTAGTCCATCTATGGAAAGGTTGGCGAGCTCAATTACTCCTATATGCTCCATGCTCCCAAAGTCATCTCCACCAACATTTTCCTTTAATTTGTAAAGTGATTTTATAACAATAATTGTAGATTTGATATGTGGCAATATTTTCCTTAATTGTAACCTTGAAATGTATTATTTATAGATACTTCTGCGTAATTTTCCTTTATTTTTAAAGTAATTTGAAAACAATAAGTGTGGAGTTAAAATGTGGCAATACTTTTCTTAATTGTAACCTTGAAATGTATTATTTATAGATATTTGTGCATAACTTTCCTTTAATTTGTAAAGTGATTTTAAAACAATAATTGTGGAGTTGACATGTGCTAGTACTTTTCTCAATTGTAACCTTGAAAAGTATTATTTATAGATTTCAAAATTGACTCTACAATTAATTATGATTGTTTGGTGTAAATAATTGTTTTTTTCTAAAATGCCATATCCTTTTCTAAAACTTATCTCGCCTCACAGGTAAGTTTGTTAATTGTCAAGTTTATTGTATTTTTTAATATTCAATCAGGTCTTTTGAGACTAAATTACAGGTTTGCTAATTCCAGTTTTAGTGAGGCAGTGAGCCACTTATTAGTTTTAGCAGTTATTATGATTTTATTAAGAATGTAATTTGTGATTCGTGAGTTCTAATCTGTCATTTGTGTGCATCATTTATATATGTATGAATTTTTATGGTGTTTTGATAATATTAGTGTAATTATATAGTTAGTTAGTATCAGTTAAGTAACTAATAATTCTATTATTTTCAATAAACGTAATCAAGAGATACTATAATCATGTTGAAAAAGGAGCTAATGAAGATAGCTAATCTAGAATTGTAGTGATCTCTCATCTACAATTAAAGAAACTTCAAATACAAATGACGCACAAAAAAACATAAATATCAAACAATCATTTTCTGTTGAAGAGTTTGATTCTTCTCAACTTCCATCTTACCCTGGATTGAGAATACCCATTTCATTATCAAACGATATCAATCGATGAAAGCCCGTAGAGAACAGTTGTAAAATTGTGGTTTTTTGTATTTGACTTTGACAAAAACTCTTATTCCTATCATATTTATTTTTGTCTTTGATTTTTTTCCGCAATAGATGTTATTTTACACTTGAAAATAAGTTCTGTTAAATGCACATTATATACTACTCCGTACATTTTACTCCGTATTTTATTTTGGCAATATACGTTATTTAGTTAAATTTGGGCCCTCTCTGGATGCCAAAACTAGATCAGCCCTTGAGCGTCGCACTCTGATGCGAGTTGATAGCTTATGGGGACGCCTGCGGACTGAGTTGTTGCCGACCGCTGCGAACTGGTCGAAGATGCTGAGCCCTTGATTTCCGACTATCGACGGGTCCTAACAGTCCTCAACCGTCCCATAGGTAGACGGCGATTCTGCTGGATGATGATATTCCGCAGACCCTCAACCCGCGCTAACATGTTTCTCTCCTACTTTTCCATCTGGCTCTCCATTTCAATCTCTCTAGAATCATTGGTGCTCTAATACCAATGATAGGAACAACAAAATCCAGATACGAAATAGGAGAATTTATGTGTATTAAGTATGGAATTCAGAGCATGAAGACCAGATCTCAATCCAGAGATTTCCTTTGGGATTAGTTTCATGTTTCTTTTCTTTTTAATTTTTCTGTGCTGTTTTTTTCTTTTTTCTTCTTCTTCTTCTTCTTCTTTAAAAAAAGTATGGAATTCAGATCACATAGCTCAGTAAATTCCTAAAGCAACGACAATGGACAAACAATAAACCAGTTTACAAAGAGAATGGAAAAGAAAGTAAAGGAACAAATAAAGACTCTTCGAGAGGCCTCAGTCTCCCTACCTAATTCCAACTGGAATTCTACCCAACTCCTTTCTTCCCCACTTCCCACTCTTATAGTAAAGTCTATTCTTAAGGGTCGGCCCAAATTCATGAATTAAATGACCCGACACCCTTATTTGTACACTTACATTATTTAATACTACCTCCGAATTTTTTTGTTTGCTACAATAGGTGTTCACACATTTTTTAAGAGTGAAATAGTTTGGGTAATGAATAGTGTAGAAAAAGTAGGAGAAATGGTGGAAAAGTATGAGAGGGAAAAGATAAAAGGTAGAAAAAGTAAAGATAGTTAACAAAAAGGAAGTATAGCAAAAAGGAAAAGTGTAGCAACTTTTTAAATACATCCAAAAAAGGAAAGTGTAGCAAACAAAAAAATACGAAGGGAGTATAAATTTATTATTATTATTATTACGTAGTATTATTATTGGCTGTCCAAGTCTCTATCATATATGTATATGTATACTTTTAATCCTAAAAAGTAGGATTTTTTTATGGCCCAAAAGACCAATATGCTGAACTTAGTTGAACATGTATTCCTTGAATTTATTTTTTCTCGAAACAAATTTCTACACAAAGTACAAAAATTGATTAAGAAATACTCTCAAGGCATTAGTTTGAACTTAGTATGTCAATAGTTTTTTTTTTGAAAGCTTAGATGTTTTCATGAATTTGTGTTTTCATTTTTTCATAATATACGCCGAGGTCTATTTCTCGGCGTTCAAAGGTCCAAACACAGTCCTTTGGGTTTCATCCAATTAGCTTGGTTGAGTAGATTGTTAGTGAGCGTTTGATGCAAGGAAATGACAAGACAAGATGAATAATTAAGCAACAAGGTGAAACTCAATTCTATTTAAGTCTTTAGGACAATTACAACACCTTGTTGGACGACTTTCCGACCCTCTACACTAAGTTGATTAATGCTCAAGAGTACAAAGTTGCTAACATGTTACAATAAAATAAATGTTGCTATTTATACTACAAGTAGATGAAGGTGGTGACATGGCCGACCCTGAGTGGCCGAGTGTCGGAGTCCCAATCATAAAATCATTCAAATCTCCCAATAGTATATATATAAGAATTTTTTAAAGAATGACACAAATATTACTCCTCAAACTTTTATTGGAGAAAATATAAGTAGATTCCTTTTTGACAAAAAGTGACCAAAGGTGAAACATCCCCTCCGTTTTCTCTCTTGCCGTGCTCGAAGACCATGGAGCTCCACAAGGGCGGAGCAATACATCGATGCAAAGCATCCATCCCCTCTACGGACAGAGCACCCAGGCCACCTCTTCCTCTGATGCCTTGAGCGTCATTGTCGTGGTTATTGCCACCGCCCTCCAAGGACAGAGTGGATGGATCGTTTTCATCCTCGCCCTATGTTCAGATCTATAACCAACTTGCACTATTAACTTTACGGCTAGACTCAGAGATGATTACCTTCAATCAATACGAATCGCTAACCAACAAACGAATGCATCACATGAATCACTAGTTATATAGATCCTTGTGACGACATAATATCTATGAGAATGGTCAATCATTATTGTAGATTTAAAAGTATAGAAATCAACAAAAAAACAGAATAACGTAAAATATAACGTGAAGTTGATACCATAATAAAAAAAAGTAAAATAACTGATAAATTTGCGAACCCTAAATTGTAGAATGCTCCAAAGCGGCTATTCCTAGTCAGCCTTCACCTTTCCTAGTCAGTAAAAACATCCCTACCAGAGGGTACAGTTTCCTCAGTTCCTGGCAAGAGCTAAGAGAAGGCGAAAAAGCGCCACCGAAGCAGCACAAGGCATAAGCAGGCTAAATAACAATAAAGCAGGATAGCATTTTGCCCCTACTTGCTTGGAATTTAGGGCAAAGAGCTCGCGGGATCTACATAAGGCAAAGCCAATTCTTGTTTGTAGTATGCACTGTGAAGGGAGAAGTCCCTCCTCAAGAACATAGCAGAATTTCCAGCTGAAGAAAAGCACAGGTGACAATGGAGGAGACGACAAAAAAGAAGTCATTATTGATACTATATGCTTCGCAGACCGGAAATGCAATTGATGCGGCCGAAAGATTGGGCCGCGAAGCTGAGCGTCGAGGCTGTCCTGCACTAGTATTATCAGTTGACGAAATTGAACCCGTAAGAACTTATCTTTTCCTTTTTTTGTCCTATTAAATCCCCTTTGGCTTTCTGAAATGCCGGGTAAATTTTAACGCGCTGTCATTGATATTTAAGGGTAGTATAATAGATTGATATAAATTTGTTTACCAGGGAAAGAGGAATTTATATAGGTACATCCATACAATGATACAATTGAGAAGTTTATTTATGTCTAAAATTGTTGAATTTTAACATTAATTTAAATATTGTGAAAAAATCTTCAGACTTCTCTGCCTAATGAGGACTTGGTGATTTTTGTTGTTTCAACTACTGGCCAAGGAGACACTCCAGACTCCATGAAGGTCGTCCTTTTCTCCAAATTTAGATATATTGCACTCGTTTCTATAAAAACACTATTATTCAACTGTGCTTTCTGCACTTTTTTGTTTTTACGAGTGAGGCTTTATTTTTTTGGGTTCTTTTTCAGGTGTTCTGGAGGTTCTTGTTGCAACGTAATCTTAGCCAAAGTTGGCTTAAAGGAGTTAAGTATGCCGTGTTTGGGTTGGGTTGTTCTAGCTATCAGAAATATAATGTAATGACCTCTAGAGTTTGTGAAGTTATTATGCCTTCATACTCTTAAACTTGGGTGTCAAATGTTCCAAATTCTTTGATGCAGTATGTTGCGAAGAAGCTTGATAAGAGACTCTTGGATCTCGGGGCCATTCCGGTTATTGAAAAAGGCCTGGGAGATGATCAACACCGTTCTGGGTATGTTTGCACTTTAACATGCTTTGGTTCCTCTGAAGTTTTATTGATGCTATAACCAACTATTTGCTTTTTGTAAATAAATCTGATATTCTTTTGATACTAATAGTCTAATATACTTACATGATTGGATCACTTGGAAAATGGAAGGGAAAAGAAAAAATCAAATACTCTGTTTGGAACATGGGAAATGCTAGGAAATGATAATATGAGGGAAAATATAGGAGGAATCTAGAAGGAAACAAAACTTTGAGGTAACATTGGCAAACACAATACATTTACAATAAATTTATTTTTAATATTTTTAAAAAGGTTCATATTTTTTTTATATTGCATAATTATGGAGAGAACTAGAGTATGTTAAAAGTTACAACTTACAAGTATTGATATATTTAATTTTGGTTTGCATTTTTCGAAGCTAAACCAAACAGAAGAAGATAACTTTCCTTCGCATTTTCCTTCCCCTTGATTTTCTGGAATCCAAACATATCCAAAGGAATTGGTCCCTAGGTGTTTGTTTTGCCTAGGAAAGTATGAAAGAAAACCGAATTTGATCAAATATTTCAAAATATTAGGAGTATATATATTGAGATATCTCTGTCTTTATCAAACTAAAATTTTTAATCAAAATGAGTTTGAAAAAACAGGTAGTACTGATTTGTTGAGTCTGAGTCAATTTTTTATACCCCCCTACCTTTTCTTCCAAATTTATTCTCTAATTTTCTCTCTATTTTCTTTCCGTAGCATTTTCCAAGTTTCAAACAGACCGTATGAATTTTAATTATCATCTGCACTTCTCAAATCTAGTTTCACAAGAATAGGATCTTATAGCTGTCTAATTTTACATGTAGGTATGAAGGGGCTCTAGACCCTTGGATAGCCACTTTGTGGAATGCGTTGCACCAAAATTATCCTATGATATTCCCAAATGGTCTAGACTATGAGACATCACGTTTAGAGCTGATGGATCAACCTAAAATAAAGATTACATATCATGATGTTAATGATGCTGATGTCAAGACAAAACTAGCAGGTAAACTAATGATGCTAATAACATATCAACGCTAGCAGGTAAACTTCTAGAACAAAACTTTCACAAGATGACATACTGTAAACATGAAAAATTAGTAATGGAATTAATATAGGTTCACTTGCTTTAGAACATTCCACTAGGCGTAAAATATGTTACAAGGAACTGAGTTATGCAATTATGGACTTCATTGCCAAAATTTCAAATATTTTATAAGACATGAGTTTGATTCAACACTTCTCAAATTTTTTGTTTTACCCCAAATTGGCTAACTACCATTGACTGTGCATCTCATGATACAGTTTGCATAGTCTCTCTCATAATAAGATCTCAATGTTGAAGATGGAGTCTTGTTCTTAGGTTCAGAGCAGATACCCGACCGGGTATGGTCAGCCACCCGACCGGGTATGTTGAAGCAGAGACCGGGGGATCTCACTGGATGTGAGACCCGACCGGGTCAGGGAAAGGACCCGACCGGGTCAGCAAGGCAGAAGCCTTCTGTGTTGGAAACCCGACCTGGTTTCCACCGGGTTTGTATTCTGTGAAGGAGACCCGACCGGGTCAAATAAGAGACCCGACCGGGTCAGGCGACGGGAATTTTAAAAACAGGCTTAATTTTGGGCCTGCGGCTCTAATCTCAGTTTAGGTTTTCCTAAACCTATTTAAACGACTCTTATGTACTTGTAAACCTCTTGGGACGCTGATAATAATACATACTCTCTCTCGTTCGCCGTGGACTAGCGTAATCACCCCGATTGCGTGAACCACGTTAATTCTTGTGTTCTTGCTCTCAATTTATCGTTTATCTTTGCCTAATCGTAACAATTGGTATCAGAGCTATGGCTGACGAAGGGAAGGTTAAGATCGATAAATTTGATGGTCAAGATTTCGTTTTCTGGAAGATGCAGATCGAGGATTATCTCTACCAGAAGAAGCTTCATCAACCGTTGTCTGAGAACAAACCAGAAACGATGACGGAGGCGGAATGGAATTTGTTGGATCGACAGGCTCTTGGTGTGGTGAGGTTGTCGTTGGCGAAGAACGTTGCCTACAACATCGTCAACGAGAAGACAACGTTCGGACTGCTCAAGGCGTTATCCAACATGTATGAGAAACCCTCAGCAGCAAACAAGGTTTTCTTGATTAGGCAGTTGGTGAATACAAGAATGAAGGAAGGTGCATCCGTGACAGATCACATCAACGAGTTTAATTCAATCATATCCAGGTTAGGCTCGGTTGAGATTAAATTCGATGATGAAGTCCAAGCATTACTTTTGTTATCATCTTTGCCCGATAGTTGGTCCGGTACAGTCACAGCGGTTAGTAGTTCATCTGGAACCACTAAGCTTACCTTTGAAGGTATTCGTGACTTAATCCTTGGTGAGGATATCCGGAGGAGGAGTTCGGGGGATAGCTCCAACAGTTTGTTGAGTACTGAAGATAGGGGCAGAAAATCCACTAGAGGAGGTAACAAGAAGGGAAGATCGAAGTCGAGAAAGAGAGGGCAATCCAAGAACCGGAAGGACATCAATTGTTGGAATTGCAAAGAGAATGGACACTTCAGAAATCAGTGCCCAAAAACCCCTGCAGACAAAGGCAAGAAGGAGGTGAACGTGGCAGAGGATTATGAAGATGTTCTAATTTGCAGCGTTGAGAATTCAGTTGAGTCCTGGATCATGGATTCAGGTGCGTCGTTTCATGCTTGTCATTGCAGGGATTTGATGAAAAATTTCAGGCCCTACAACGGAAGAGTTCGTTTGGCGGATGACAAATCCCTAGAGATCACGGGTATTGGGGATGTTGATCTCAGTACCACTTTGGGTACAACCTGGAGACTGAAAGATGTGAGGTATATTCCAGACCTGAAGAAGATGTTGATCTCAGTTGGACAGCTTGATGAGGAAGGCCATAACGTTAGTTTTGGCAACAAGCAATGGAAGGTGACAAAGGGAAAGCTGGTCATTGCTCGTGGGCAGAAGCATGGTACACTGTACATGGTTGAAGTGTCCACAGATGGGGCAAACGCAGCAGTTGAAGATACAGGGGTCTCTACTTTGTGGCACCAAAGACTTGGGCACATAAGTGAGAACGGAATGAAGATGCTGTCTTCAAAGGGCAAAATCCCAGATTTGAAGAATTCAAAGTTGAGCTTTTGTGAGCCATGTGTTCTAGGCAAACAAAAGAGGGTAACCTTTGTGAAGACAGGGCAGCAACCCAAGATTGAGCGGCTGGAGTTGATTCATTCAGATGTCTACGGACCGACAAAGGTCTCTTCGATTGGAGGTTCCCGGTACTATGTTACATTCATTGATGACTCTACACGGAAGGTATGGGTTTATTTTCTTAAGAATAAATCCGATGTCTTTAACACTTTTAAGAAGTTCAAAGCTGCTGTTGAGAATGAAACAAATCTTAAGATTAAGTGTTTAAAGAGTGATAATGGGGGTGAGTACAGTAGCACAGAGTTTGTAGAGTATTGTGCTGAACAGGGGATCAGAATGCTGAAGACGGTTCCAGAAACACCACAGCAAAATGGTGTTGCAGAGAGGATGAACAGAACACTGAATGAGAGGGCCAGGAGCATGAGATTGCATGCAGGACTTCCAAAGATGTTCTGGGCCGATGCGGTGAACACAGCAGCATACTTGATCAACAGAGGACCCTCATCTCCCATAGGTTTCAAAATTCCAGAAGAGGAATGGAAAGGTCGAGAGGTATCTCTTACTCACTTGAAAGTTTTTGGTTGTATTTCTTATGTCAAAGTTAGAGATGCAGATAGTGACAAGCTCGAGGCAAAGGCAAAGAAGTGTATCTTTATTGGGTACGGGATGGATGACATGGGCTACAGGTTCTGGGACAACCACAGCAAGAAGGTTATCAGAAGTAGAGATGTCACTTTCAACGAGAATGCCCTGTATAAAGATGGTCTTGCAGCAGAAACTAGCAAAGCCAAGCAACCAGAAAACAAGCAACAAGTGGTGTTTGACGGGATGACTGAAGATGACATAGCACAACCTGTTGGTTGTGATGAGACAACAGGAGGTTCAGGGAGCAGTGGGAGCTCAGGAGATACAGGAATGCCTGAAGATAGTGGGAGTGATGAAGATGGTGAAAATTCAGAGGCAGCTACTCCTCAAGTCAGACAGTCCACCAGAATCAGAAGACCTCCTAACAGATATTCTCCTTCAGCAAATTATTTGTTACTGACCGAGAATGGAGAACCAGAATCTTACTCAGAGGCGCTGACCGTGAAGGATTCCATACAGTGGAAGAAGGCCATGGAGGATGAGTTAGATTCGCTTGAGAAGAACCAAACTTGGTCCTTAGTCAAGCTACCACCGGGAAAGAAAGCTTTGGAGAACAAGTGGGTGTTCAGAATCAAAGATGAAGCTGATGGGAACAAAAGATACAAGGCGAGGCTAGTTGTCAAGGGGTTCCAACAGAAGAAGGGGGTTGATTACAATGAAATCTTCTCTCCGGTTGTGAAGATGACTACTATCAGGTTGATCCTTGGTATCGTTGCTGCTGAAAATTTGCATTTGGAGCAGCTGGATGTGAAGACTGCTTTTCTTCATGGTGACCTTGAAGAAGACATTTACATGGCCCAACCAGCAGGTTTCCCAGTGAGTGGTAAAGAGAAGATGGTGTGCAAACTCAAGAAGAGTCTATACGGGCTGAAGCAAGCTCCTAGACAGTGGTACTTGAAGTTTGACAGTTTTATGCAGCGGAATGGGTACACTAGATGCAAGATGGACCATTGCTGTTACTTGAAGAAATTCGAGTCTTCATACATTATTCTTCGTTTGTATGTTGATGACATGTTGGTGGCTGGAGCAAACATGCAGGAGATCAACAAGCTCAAGAAGAAGTTGTCTGAAGAATTTGAGATGAAGGATTTAGGGGAGGCGAGACAGATTCTTGGGATGAGCATAGTCAGAGACAAGGTGGAAGGTACTTTAAAGCTTTCACAGCAGAAGTACATTCAGAAGGTCCTTGAGAAGTTCAGGATGACGGATGCCAAGCCAAGGAGTACACCGTTAGGGAGTCAGTTGAAACTCTCCAAGCAGCAGTCTCCAAAGACCAATGAAGACAAAGATGAGATGGCTAAAGTTCCTTATGCATCAGCCGTTGGCAGCTTGATGTACGCAATGGTGTCAACAAGGCCGGACATTGCTCATGCAGTGGGAGTTGTTAGCAGGTTCATGTCAAATCCAGGGAAGGAACATTGGGAAGGAGTTAAGTGGCTGTTACGCTACGTGAAAGGTACTTCTGAAATTGCTCTTTGTTTCAGGAGGAATGGAGCAATTCTAGAAGGTTTTGCAGATGCTGATTTGGGGGGCTGTCATGATTCCGGGAAGAGCACTACGGGTTACATATTCACTATTGGAGGTACGGCAATCAGTTGGATGTCCAGATTACAGAAGAGTGTAGCTCTTTCAACCACAGAAGCAGAGTATATGGCTATTGCTGAAGCGGCCAAGGAGATGATTTGGTTGAAGAACTTTCTTTCGGAGTTGGGCATGAAACAGGGGGATTGTGGTCTGTACTGTGACAACCAGAGTGCTATTCATCTCGCGAAGAATCCGGTGTTTCACAGCAGAACGAAACACATCAAGATGAGGTATCATTTCATTCGAGAGTTGATTGAAGATGGTACTATAAATTTGAAGAAGATCCTTGGTACGAAGAATCCAGCAGACATGCTTACCAAGGCGGTGACAACGGAGAAGTTGAAGCTATGCATGGCTTCAACGGGCCTTCCAGATACTTGATGAGAAGGCGCGGACGAGAGAGAAAGAGAAAAAGAGAGAGAAATCAGGGGTTTTACAGAAGATACATGTTCTTGGATGGCAGATAATTGTTGACCAAGCCTCCAAGTGGGAGATTGTTGAAGATGGAGTCTTGTTCTTAGGTTCAGAGCAGATACCCGACCGGGTATGGTCAGCCACCCGACCGGGTATGTTGAAGCAGAGACCGGGGGATCTCACTGGATGTGAGACCCGACCGGGTCAGGGAAAGGACCCGACCGGGTCAGCAAGGCAGAAGCCTTCTGTGTTGGAAACCCGACCTGGTTTCCACCGGGTTTGTATTCTGTGAAGGAGACCCGACCGGGTCAAATAAGAGACCCGACCGGGTCAGGCGACGGGAATTTTAAAAACAGGCTTAATTTTGGGCCTGCGGCTCTAATCTCAGTTTAGGTTTTCCTAAACCTATTTAAACGACTCTTATGTACTTGTAAACCTCTTGGGACGCTGATAATAATACATACTCTCTCTCGTTCGCCGTGGACTAGCGTAATCACCCCGATTGCGTGAACCACGTTAATTCTTGTGTTCTTGCTCTCAATTTATCGTTTATCTTTGCCTAATCGTAACACTCAATGCATGCTTTGTAGTCCTTCATCTCAGACCTAGCCATTTGCGTTCAGTTTTATGCTGATGTACTTTCACATAGTTGCAGATCTGGGTTTTGTTGAGATGCAGATCAGCAGAGCTCGCTCAATGTCCCCAGGAACACTTTTTGAAAAAACAACTCGCCCAGATTGCTTTCTAAGAATGGTGTTCGGTTATTTGCTACTCCTTGTTCTGTTCAATATAGTGATTACATCTTTATTTGATGTTTTGTTGTTTGTTGTGCTCGACAAGCTGAAGCTGTTAAAATTTAAAGATTTATAGTCTTTGAAAATTAGTATAAATATTCAGGATTGTTTTTCTTTTGCTCTTCTACAATTTAAAAGTCATGTCACTAATAGTGAATACAGCAATACTTATTAGTTCTTTTCCTCCTTTTACATAGGCAAAAAATGACCAACTATGTAAAGCAGGTTCTGGGAAAGATGTACGCCACATTGAACTGGAACCTGTTTCATCTGTAAGTCATATCTCTTCTAAAGATGGTCGAGTTTACCATTTCCTTTTATTTATTACGTAGTAGTTTATTCATAATTTCCTCTTTCTTATGCAGTCAATCCAGTATGAAGTTGGTGATATTCTTGAAGTTCTACCTGGACAATGTGCTGCTTCAGTCGATGCTTTTATAAAGCGCTGCAATTTGAACCCTTACTCATATATCACAGTATGTGGTTATCTTGTTTCTGCTGTCTTCTCTTCAAGATTCATAACACAGAAGAAAAAGAATTGAAAGTTGAAACTGAGATGATAAATATCATGTAACCATACCTTACTTTTTTTGCGGCAATATTATCATGTTGTCTTTTCTTTGTTTAATTTCCTTATTCTGTTATCTTTTTTAATTGAATGTGCCATCTTTCCTGAATCAAAAGATGTTTTTTCTTTAGAAAAATTGTTTACTCATACATAAACTTTTCTTCCAGGTGCATGCTAGAGATAAAGACCAAAAGCTTGCTAATAAGTCAATAAGTAGTATTGATCTCCCTGTGCAGCTAAGTACTTTTGTAGAGGTTTCTATGGACATTGCATCAGCCACTCCGCGGCGCTATTTCTTTGAGGTAAGCTATTTACCACTGGACAAATATATCTTTTTGTGACTAAGACTTTGGTTTGGTTGTTAAAAGCGATAAGAATTTTGTAGTGATTCAACCTCCCCCAAACTCTATGTTTTCAAATGAGACACACTGTGTATGTTTATGCTAGAGTCCCACATTTGAAAATTAAGAGAATGATGGGTTAATTAGGTATTGTGCTTAAACTAGCTAAAAGATTGGTTTGAATTTTTTAGTGCGGTTAAGGCGTAGTTGTATGACACCCAGCCCACTCCTGGATTTGATTAGTTGGCATTGATTTGATTTAATTGATAAGAAAGGTTAAAATGTCGAATTGTTCAGATCATGAGTCACTTTGCCACATCTGAACACGAGAAGGAGAAACTTCAGTATTTCGCTTCATCTGAAGGAAGAGATGATCTGTATCAGTACAACAGCAAGGAAAGGAGAACGGTACTGGAGGTATTATCATTGATTGTCTTTTTTCTTTTTTATAAACTATCTGCTTTAAAGTTGTTGACATGGACATGGTGATGCCTACAGATATTGGTTGATTTCCCTTCCGTTCAAATGCCATTTGAATGGTTAGTTCAATTGGTACCTCCATTAAAAAAAAGAGCTTTTTCCATCTCTTCCTCTCCATTGGTTCACCCTAATCAAGTGCATCTAACTGTGAGCGTGGTCGCATGGACAACACCTTATGGAAGGAAGGTGAAGGGTCTTTGCTCTTCTTGGCTAGCTGGACTTGATCCTCAAGGTGGTACAGAATTGCTCCCTACCCGTTACTGAATCTGTGTTGCATTACTTAATTTAAATGGTTTGTTTCAAGTAGATGTCTCAATAACAACTTCATGATCTGCTATATGATTTTATTTTACCTGTACATTTATTTGCCTTACCTAGCCTCTTTGATTTCGAGAAAATAACTTTCTGAGTAAAAGTTTTTTCTGAAAAAATCTAATGTATATTATAATGTTTGTCCGATGAAAATGGAAACCTAAAACAGTTTAACAGCAAGTAGTCACTTTAAAGCAAAGATAAGGGGTCCTTATGGAACATGGATAATGATAGGGAAAGAAAGTTCGAAGGAAAGGATGGGGAAATATGTAAGATAAATTCAGAGTCATTAGACTCATTACAGTTATTTTAGATATCTGTTCAAACTCATTTAATTTTTTTAGTCAATTCTAATATAAAAGACTAGGAAATCTAAATAGTTTTAATTTTGTACTGAAAAGTTAATTTAATATCTTACGTAGTATATCCTAACATTTTCCAGGGTAAAACAAAACATGAGAAAATTACTTTTCTTGCCATTCCCCTTTCTAGCATTTTCTGGTATGCAAACATACCCTGAATGTGTGCTTGGTTCGAGGGGAAGGTAGGGAATCATCTCACCTCCCCTTTTTTGATTAAAATATTAGTGAGGAGAAGGGTGAGGTTTCTTCCTCCTCCCTCATGCATGGTGAGCTCTTCTCCCTTCCACTCCATTCCTTCTCTTTCCCTCCGCTCCCTTCTAATCAAATACACCTTAAAGGGTCAGGAAAGTATTCAAACACATGCAAATCTTTAGGGAAATATTTCTGGTGCCAAACACTAGGAAGTTGCCATCCATATTACTATTGCTTTGAATTCAGTTGCATTTATGCTTTTCTTAATTACTGTCCAAGGTAAAGTCAACTTATCACAAATAGAGGGGGTAACAAATTTCTTATTGGTTATTCCTTTGGAGCCTTTAGGTCTCGTGTTAACTGTTTTGCTTGTTTGTAACCACAGGAGACCTTATACCAGCATGGTTTCATAAAGGTTCTCTTCCTCCACCGCCACCCTCACTCCCTCTCATTCTTGTGGGACCGGGGACTGGGTGCGCACCTTTCCGTGGGTTCATAGAGGAAAGATCTCTCCAGAGTATATCTTCCGACAACAATTCTGCTCCAGTCATCTTCTTCTTTGGTTGTAGAAATGAAGAAAACGACTTCTTGTACAGAGATTTTTGGGAGTCTCATTCACAGAAAGGCAAAGTCCTGTCCGAAGAAAAAGGAGGAGGCTTCTTTGCTGCTTTCTCGAGAGACCAACCTCAGAAGGTTTATGTGCAGCACAAAATGAAAGAGCAAAGTGCAAAGGTGTGGAAACTGTTGGCCATGGGAGCCGATGTCTATGTTGCTGGCTCTGCAAGTAAGATGCCCTCTGATGTTCTTTCGGTATTTGAGGAAATTGTGTCAAAAGAAAGTGGGGTTTCCAGGGAAGATGCGGTGAAGTGGCTTCGAGCGTGGGAAAGGAATGGTAAATACCATGTTGAAGCTTGGTCTTGAGCTCTCTGCTCATTTCCCGGATTTTGTACTATCTTATTAGTTTTATTCTTGCTATTACTTCACCAATTCTTGTGTAGCCTATTTACACAACAACAGCTTCCCTGCATCAAGGCTGTATATTTTTTTTCTCAAGAAAATCAAGCTATTTTTTAGTACATATAATAGATGAAAAAGAACACAGAAATGTTTAAGAGCCATGTATACGATTTTACAGGCATTCACTAATTAATTAAGTTTTGAACAATGTATTTTATTGTTCAATATTTTTATGATTTTTGTTATTCATGTAAGTCTGTAAATCTGTATTCTCTGAACTCGCCAATAAATATTTTTATGGTTTTTGTTCAATATTTTTATGGTTTTTGTTCAATATTTTTATGGTTTTTTGGTATTCATGTAAGTCTATGAAAATCTGTATTCATGTAAATTGACTATAGCCGGACTTATTATAAACTCACATTTAAATATTTAATGGTGTGATGCTATTTTATTGTATTTGCACCGTTGATTGAATATTTGAATCGAGAGTTAAGATGATATATGGAAATTTTATGACTTGGAATTTGATGATAGTGTCCTTTCCTTCACTACTCAGGTTTATATGGTTGTCTATGATGAGTTTTTGAATACGGGAGATGGGGTAGAACTGTAGATTGAGGTCCAGACCTATAGTAATTTGTGGTCATATTGTAAATAAATTATAGGGAAAAGGGGCAAATACGCCATCGAACTAATCAAAAAAGTGCAAATCACCCCTTATATAGGAGGTTCTGTCCAGACGTCGTCATTTGAGGAGATTCCCTATGGAATTTTTTAATGAATTTTTTTGACCATCTTCTTCATTAAGTCTAGTTTACCCTTATCAAATTTCAGCTAAAAATTCAATCGGGAAGGCAGTCAAATGAATTTTTGAAGATAACTGCGCAGTTAAATAGCGCAATATATTTCAGAAAATCATTTGACTGCCTTCCCGGTTGAATTTTTAGCTGAAATTTGGTATAGATAAACTAGACTTAATGAAGAAAATGCTCAAAAAAATTCATCAAAATATTCCACCGGAAACCGCCCCAAATGGCGACCGTCAGACAGAATCTCCTATATAAGGAGTGATTTGCACTTTTTTGTTAGTTCGAGGGCTTATTTGTCCCTTTTCCCTTGCTAAAAATGACACCAAAACGTGGGTGAAAATTGAACCATGGGGATTGTGATAATAATAATAATAATAATTACTATAATATTTACAACAATAATTATTATAGTATTAATTATAATAGAAATGATTATAATAATATAATATTAATAATTAATAATAATAGCATTGTTGAGATATTGAGCTTGATCTACAATATTTTGGAAGCCCAATACTTTATGCAATACAAAACCCGATAAGTTAGGCTCATAAGTCATATCTATCCATTCGGCTCATTGGGCTAGAATTCTACCCCTCCTTTTCATATAAATATACTCCGTATGAGGTTTCCTTTCATATATGTGCAAATTACCCGAAGAGTCTACTTTTGGGTGAAGGATATCATTTATGGCCTAGATGATCTTTCTTTTCATTTTTAACTTTTCTCTTTTCAATATTGGTTTTTTATTTCACTTTTGGACTGGATTTCTTCCCACCCCTCCTCTCTGTTTCCTATTACCGTTTCCTTTCCCGTGTCGGCTATCTCCTACAACTAAAACCTAAACCCCAAATTCATTTACATCGAAGTTGTCCGGTACTCTGGAGATTGATGTTGGGCGCTAGTAATTCAAGCTTCAAACTCTCCGATTTCAATTCGAAGATGGAGGAGTATCCATCTCCCAGGCTCCCAGCAACTTGTCTCGCTTCATCTTCTTCGCAAACGCATAATAGATCACATTCTCATCAAAATCTCAACCTGGAAGTCTATCTTCTTCTCATAAATACATAGGTAAACGCATCCAAGTCTCACCAAGTTCCTTATATCAAATCTTGTTTGCTGCCTATGCCTCTGACGACAATAGTTTCAGATCGATGACAATAGAAAGCAGCATCGTAGAACATCGATCAGAGATTTCCGAGATGAACATCAACAACAAACGAGTGGCAACGAAACTTGATATAAACTATTATCCCACTCCATGTACAGAGGTATCTGAATTGATATAGATTGTTTTTTCTCACTCCAAGTACTGAGAAACATCACTAGCCATATATTAAATTGTTTTTCACATGTTAAATTCTGTAGTGTGGATGTGAAGTGGTAAGGATGAGGGATTTTGCCTAGAGTGCAGCTGATCGGTTGGCTCAGTTTGAGAACTAAACAAACTTCAGACTTCACCAAATTTCAGTATGTTGTTCCTGCAATAGACCTTCTCATATCCTATGGTTAAATTCATGTTTTGATCTTCTTATCTTTAGAAATGTGTTACTGCCATGTTTAGTATGAAAAGTGTTTCTCACCATTTTCGTTGAATTTTCATCATCTAGGCGCCTCCTAGTTCATGAATATGAATTGATTAAATTGTCTTTTTTTTCGTTCTTGATAATCTCTATGAATAGATCCCTAAGTCTTGCAAAATTATTTCGCATGCTTATATGTATTCTACCGCATACTGCACCCAACAGACAATCCTGCTTATCTGCCAATCACATTGAAGCTAAAAGAAAATCGAATGGATGATTGATGGTTATGCATATGGATTGATAGGATTGATAGACTAAATCCAGAAGAACCGTTGGAATATGGCTAAGGAGAATGATTAGCTTATTAAATTAAAATTATTATTTATTACATTCCAAAGTTAGGCATGCATTAGATGTATAGAATAAGAGTAGCTCGTAGCTTAGAATTCCTATTTAATCACTCATATTGTAATAAGGAGGTATGCAAGAAAAGCAATATTCTCATCACTTATTAGTTATTATCACTTTAGTTATTATCCTTCTACTGTCTTCCCTTCATATCTAAATTTTTGTTTCTATGTGGAGCCAGGAGTCCTTGAAAGACATAACTTAACAACTGATGCTTTCTTTGATATGGATGAGCCAATAAATCACATTTAAGAAAATATAGGCAAGTAAATCATATACATCATATTTGTGCTATAAGATACAGATAACTATGTGAACTGGTGTTCTTTCTTCCAATACTATTTTATGAACGATATATGAGCAAATGATTTTACAATTTGAGTGGTGTCTGGATACACTTGTATAGGTGTAAATAAGATGAAGAGATATTTTTTGTGTCATGATTCCCCGTGCTTCTGTTTTTAATAATGTAAAATTGTGGTGTTCATTGATCAAGTCTTCATTGACGTAGAACTGTGATGTTCATATGAAATAAGTCTTTTTTACTTATTTGGTTGTTTTATATGGTTCATTGTGGTGTACATATAGTACTAATGTTTTACACATATATGCTTTATTTATTTGGCATGACCAGGATATTGATGGACTTGCACAAGGACTGACTCTAAGGCTTCTCAACCATGAATTGCTTTAGAAGTCTTTTTCAATTATAATGAAGGTCATAGCTTCATAGATTTTGACAATAAAATGAAGAATATCAAAGAAAGTGAAGACAAGATATTCAACCTTGAAGAATTGTGTTAAGATGCATAAAAGAAGTGATATGAAGGAACTCCAAATTGTATGATAGATACATATATGTATGTAATAAATAGAAATACTAGATTGAATTTCACAATTGTTGTGACACTTACATATATATATATATATATATATATATATATATATATATATATATATATATATATATATACATATATATATATATATATATATATATATATATATATATATTTGTTTCTTTTTGTTGCAATGAATGTGTTGCTTTTTGTTGCCTCTTGTTGTTTTTTGTTGCATGGTGTTGCATTTTGTTGCATTGTGTTACTTATTATTGTATCATTGTTGATCTCATATTTTGTTGTTTATTTAGACTTTTATTTATTTTTGCTACTTTTTAAAAGTAAAAAAAAAACTCATGTATTTCACCAGAGATGATAAATGTGGATTTATGAGTACAAACCAATGACAAGAAACATAAATAAACAATAAAAAACAAAAATTTCAAAGTCATCAACAAAAGGAAACAAAGAAAACAATAGGCAACAAAAACATACAACAAAATTATTTACGGAATAATAGCATTGTTAAATATTGTAACATTTAAAAATATTGTATTATAAGATTCCTATTTTTAGATTTTTTTCAATGTTTGATTATTTTTACTTAACACAATTTTTATTGTCGAGATATAAACTTTTCATGCTTTTAAGTTAATAAAATTTTCTGCTTTTTAATTTTTATAAATATGTTTCTATGTACATTTTATTTATATTAGTAGCATTTTTTTTTAACTTTTTCCAAATTTATATATTTACAGTTTTATATGCCTTTTAAAGAATACATTACAAAGAAAAGACTGCATTTTTCGTTACAAATTTTCACACTTTTAAACTATTTTAAATTTTCGACAGTTTTTAATTTTGAGTTTTTTATTCTTTAATTTGAGTTTTTTTTATTAGTTAGGCTTTCTGGTATTTTTTTCTTACTATTTTCACCATTTTTATTTTTACTCTTCTTTTTAAAATTGTGTTACGTAGTTACAGTTTTTAGTTACTGTTTTCAAAAACAAAAAGTGAGTAGCGGGGCACTTTCTACTAAGAGCCCGTTTGGTAGCACCAAAATCGGCTGTTTTGGCTGATTCTGCTGAAATTTATGATATTCTGGCTGGAGTGGCTGTTTTGGCTGATTCTGCTGATTTAAGAAAAAAATATTTTAAAAATATATTTTATTAATAAATTAAAGAAAAAATTATATGTAAAAATAGCTAAAATGGACCTCTACAGTAACTTCAGCCAATACAGCCAGAAAAGTAACTCCAACCTTACTTTTTCGGCTTATTACACAATTCAGCGCGCGAAAGTAAAAGTTACGTGTTTGGTGAAAAAGCTGGCTGATAAGCGTGATAAGCCAAAAACAGAGTTCTCCAAACGGGCTCTAAATTGTCAACGAAGCATTACTTAGGCGGTGACATCTGGTATGCTAAGTTGCTAACCCACTCGCTTAAAAGGAGCGGAGAGTGAAACGCGTGTTTACCGTTTTATACACGAGTCCATTTCTGAAAACAAAAGTTTAACCGATCTATCTTTGAAAAGAAATTTAAACGGTGATAAAAGTGATAATATTTTAGCTCTTAAGTCTATATGTGATAATTTCCCTTCATATATAGTGGGAGCTCTTGAACATTAGCCCAAAAAATCATTTAACAGGCTAGATTAAGTTAATGAGCCCTGTTATTATTTTTAATAGTGTATGACACTTTAGTGATGAATATATAAAATGTGATGAT